CTGAGGATCCCCCGGACCAGGGAGAGCGTTTTGTGAGAGCTTGGCTGCCCCGTGTCGCCGCCCGTCGGCCCGGCTGTGCGCCTGCGGGCGTTTGGATTCGATCCCCCGCGCCTTGCGCCGGCCCGAGCCCGGGGGGAGCACGGCCGCGTAGCGGCCGTACCACGTCTCAGACGTCGGTGAAGGGTCTGTTTTCGGAGCCCCGGAGGGGCGACGACTCCTGCGGACGCGCCTCCCAGGCGCGTCCGCAGGAGCTCGCTTTTTTCGACCGCGCGGGGCTCCTCCGACAACCACCCCAAAAGGCAGCCCCAGCCACTGTGGCCCCGAATCTGGACGCCTCCGTCCGCCACGCCTCCTAGGGTAGGCTAAGTGTGATTGTTGTCTCGATCATCCCCGGGAAATCCAGCGATCCGCAGCCGCCCCCATACTGAGCCTGAGACTGAGCCGGCTCAGTAGGCTCAGTATAAGCCGCCGCGACCGGCCGCGCGGCGGCCCGGAAGAGGCCCCACCCGACCCCGCTTCGCGCCCGCCGCCGCCCCACGGACCCTACGGGCTCCCTGGACAGAGGTGGCGCCAGGCGCGGGGCGCTTAAGGGCGGCTAGGGAGAGGGGCAAGCCGCAAACTCAGCTTCGTTGGGTTTCTCGTGCCCAAGCCGCACCAACCGCTGGGTACTACAGTAAAGTTCTAGTTCTCATCATCACCATGACACCATCCCCATAATTCAAATTGCCCTGCTATGTTACCATCGCGACGTTACCCATGAAGATGGCCCTGCTCAGACCCACAATGTGGACTTCAATGTACGGCACTATGCTAGTTCCGGCATCTGGAACTATCTCCCGGGCGGTGGCGTGTTCCATTCCCAGTTAGGTCATCGCGCACTTTGATACGCTGTGGATCGGCGTGCTCTGGAGGTTCAGTTCCTACCAGACGAAGCACTGGCAAACATACTTGTGAAGTCACTATCCCGCTCTAATAGAACCACATTTGCAGTGAACAGCCACCAACCTCAGCAGCGCACATCGAAGCCACAATGCTTGCACAATATGCAGGTCGTCGGACTCAGTCGTGACTCCCATTGTAAGCAAACGCGATACTATCGGCATGACTGGTGTTAGCAAGGTTTTACGCGACTCAAAATCGCCACTCTGCTCGCAGATACCACACACTGCGATGACTGCAGCCAGCGCAACTTCCATCATCGATTTTGAACAAACACAAAGCGACCGAGTTTGCTCAGCACCCTGGGCTCTCAATTCGAGTAAGGCGGAAATACGGACCGAGAATGCTTGGAGGCCTACAGTGCCATCAAACAAGTCATTGATAGCTACGCCGCCTCGCAAAACCCCAAGAAGGCAGAGCAAGGCCCTTCTTATCACAAAGCTCGGCGCCCACTCTGTTGCAACCTACCACAGTAAGGACTGAACCCAGAAGAAAATGATAGGATGAGTGCAATCACAGCTATACGCGCCAAGATTCGGGCGTCTTCCGCAATCTGAGAAACATATGGCCGAAAACCGTCGAGGCTTAGGGTGCAGTTTGCAACCAAGGAAAGAGCAAGCGAGGCCACTTCAAAGCTTGCATTGACACCGGGTGCAAGCGCTGACATCTTCAAGTCATTTCGCACGATGGCAAACACTTGTATCGTATCATCCTCGGAAGCTGGGTCCACAAGTAAGCTTGCAAGGGCATATCCAGTCGCCTTCTCCGACAGATCTCTCGATGCCATGAGAACGACGGTTTCCCAAAGTCCAAAGTCAACCACATAACCCAGAACTCTGATGTAAAACAGCTTGCATGCATACTTTTTGAAGTCGTACGAGGACAGCATTTTCGCATTACCGCCGCGTCTACGGGCATGTTCGAATTTGCCCCTAATCTTAGCTAATTCAAACGTGACGCATCTCGACTCTATCTCGCGAGTTTTTGCAGACCGTATTGCATCAAGGAAATGGCGCAGTCCGCGGGCTCGCCGTGACACCATATTGCGACCGATGACAGTCTGGCGGCCCCAAATCCAGTGATAATTCAGGATGCCGCCAAACGAAATGACATTGTATGTATTAGGCCGGAAGTTAAATAAAAATAACTTGAGGCAATAATTGATTTGTAAGTTGATTTGTATGAGGAGTTAAATGACGATTTCGTAGCAAATCGTGAAAGATTTACCAAAACTCTCTCTCTCCAGCCAGCAGATCGAGCGGATTTGCTCGCCGCCCGAGCACGAAAGACAAACTGTCTTACGCGCGTTGGTCGCCCGCGCACCACGCCCGTGTCAGCCCGGAGGCTCGTAGGGACGCATCTGGTGATCCCAGACGACATCGCTTGCCTCCTGGGACCAGCCGAGGGTGGGATGGCGCCTCGTGAGGCCCGCCGCGCCGGCGGCGTCGGGCCGAAGCCGGCGCCGGTCGTCTCAGCGCCGCCAAGAGGTGGTCCCAACCGACTGGGAAGGTCTCCATCCGCTGCCGTGGTGGCGCGAGATCGCGACACTCGCCGTGCGGTGGCACCGGCGCAAAATGCCCACGGCCACCGTCGGGACGAAACGCCGCCGGCAGCTCGTCCCGGTGGACTCGGCGATTTCGGGCTCCCCCGAGGAACCCGCCGCGCTGGACGCGACGGGGGTCGATGACGAACGATCTCCGCTGCTGCGATGGCTCGAAAACCATCTTAGAGGGGTCGCGAGGGGGCAGCGCGTCCCTAC